TTATTCACTGTGTCTCATAGCCTCCTTTCCATTGGCTTTGTCGGTTATTGTCAACACTGGCTACATGTCCCCAGTGATTGAGTGAGTCTATTGACAATTTCCCGTCTGACTAAAAACTCTGCTCTCTATGCAAAGTGATAGTACACGTCCAACTGCAAATTGACAACGTATGACATCAATTCCCTCAGCTTGTGTGGTTGTGTCCCCACGTGAGGGACTATCCTTCCTACAGTATGTGGGTTGATTCTCCTCTTGTTTGAGGGTGGGCTAAACCCATGAGGAAGAGTTGTTCTGGTTATTAGTATGAATAATTGTTTGCTTCAGGGCTGTAAGTATCACTTATACAAATCACATATACAGTGGGGGAAAAAAGTATTTAGTCAGCCACCAATTGTGCAAGTTCTCCCACTTAAAAAGATGAGAGGCCTGTAATTTTCATCATAGGTACACGTCAACTATGACAGACAAAATGAGGGAAAAAAATCCAGAAAATCACATTGTAGGATTTTTAATGAATTTATTTGCAAATTATGGTGGAAAATAACTATTTGGTCAATAACAAAAGTTTCTCAATACTTTGTTATATACCCTTTGTTAGCAATGATACAGGTCAAACGTTTTCTGTAAGTCTCCACAAGGTTTTCACACACTGTTGCTGGTATTTTGGCCCATTCCGCCATGCAGATCTCCTCTAGAGAAGTGATGTTTTGGGGCTGTCGCTGGGAAACACGGACTTTCAACTCCCTCCAAAGATTTTCTATGGGGTTGAGATCTGGAGACTGGCTAGGCCACTCCAGGACCTTGAAATGCTTCTTACGAAGCCACTCCTTCGTTGCCCGGGCGGTGTGTTTGGGATCATTGTCATGCTGAAAGACCCTGCCACGTTTCATCTTCAATGCCCTTGCTGATGGAAGGAGGTTTTCACTCAAAATCTCACGATACATGGCCCCATTCATTCTTTCCTTTACACGGATCAGTCGTCCTGGTCCCTTTGCAGAAAAACAGCCCCAAAGCATGATGTTTTCACCCCCATGCTTCACAGTAGGTATGGTGTTCTTTGGATGCAACTCAGCATTCTTTGTCCTCCAAACACGACGAGTTGAGTTTTTACCAAAAAGTTCTATTTTGGTTTCATCTGACCATATGACATTCTCCCAATCCTCTTCTGGATCATCCAAATGCACTCTAGCAAACTTCAGACGGGCCTGGACATGTACTGGCTTAAGCAGGGGGACATGTCTGGCACTGCAGGATTTGAGTCCCTGGCGGCGTAGTGTGTTACTGATGGTAGGCTTTGTTACTTTGGTCCCAGCTCTCTCTAGGTCATTCACTAGGTCCCCCCGTGTGGTTCTGGGATTTTTGCTCACCGTTCTTGTGATCATTTTGACCCCACGGGGTGAGATCTTGCGTGGAGCCCCAGATCGAGGGAGATTATCAGTGGTCTTGTATGTCTTCCATTTCCTAATAATTGCTCCCACAGTTGATTTCTTCAAACCAAGCTGCTTACCTATTGCAGATTCAGTCTGCCTAGCCTGGTGCAGGTCTACAATTTTGTTTCTGGTGTCCTTTGACAGCTCTTTGGTCTTGGCCATAGTGGAGTTTGGAGTGTGACTGTTTGAGGTTGTGGACAGGTGTCTTTTACACTGATAACAAGTTCAAACAGGTGCCATTAATACAGGTAATGAATGGAGGACAGAGGAGCCTCTTAAAGAAGAAGTTACACGTCTGTGAGAGCCAGAAATCTTGCTTGTTTGTAGGTGACCAAATACTTATTTTCCACCATAATTTGCAAATAAATTCATAAAAAATCCTACAATGTGATTTTCTGGAATTTCTTTTCTCAATTTGTCTGTCATAGTTGACGTGTACCTATGATGAAAATGACAGGCCTCTCTCATCTTTTTAAGTGGGAGAACTTGCACAATTGGTGGCTGACTAAATACTTTTTTTCCCCACTGTATGTTTTATTTGTCTGTTCATTATGTGTTTATAATGGAATTCAGAATAGTCTACAAAATGAAGACCATGATCAAATAGTTTACAAAATGAAGACCAGTTTCAAATAGTTTACAAAATGAAGACCAGTTTCAAATAGTTTACAAAATGAAGACCAGTTTCAAATAGTTTACAAAATGAAGACCAGTTTCAAATAGTTTACAAAATGAAGACCAGTTTCAAATAGTTTACAAAATGAAGACCAGTTTCAAATAGTTTACAAAATGAAGACCAGTTTCAAATAGTTTACAAAATGAAGACCAGTTTCAAATAGTTTACAAAATGAAGACCAGTTTCAAATAGTTTACAAAATGAAGACCAGTTTCAAATAGTTTACAAAATGAAGACCAGGAAAAGTACCAGTGTCACTCCCTCCACTGGACAGATATTGCTATAAGATCTTGTGTGTGGTGAAAGTTGAAGATGACAATGTTCCGTTTTTGCAGACAAACTAAATACAAAATATAGGCTACATGAATGTAATCTATTTGCTTATTCACCACAACAACAAAAAATCCTCACATTATAACTGTCTGTCTGACATATTTAATATTTTCATAAATGTGACATATTGTATCCATCTCCATCATTCAGCTTTGTTGTTTTATTTCTACTTGACCACAGCTTTTCTCCAGTCCCCTATACAAATCCTCTAACAATGTATTTTCATCTAACAAATTAGTCAGTCATGACTCATCTAGAACAGGTGTACAGGCGTGATCCCTGTGTGTTAAATTGGGGGACACAAATCTTTTTTTCCTGTTTACAATAGCAGGGAATGCGTCTGGAACCAGGTGACTGTGACGCAGTGCAGGGCCTGTCAAATGCCCGTAGGAGTGTATGGCACAATAGCAAAGCTTGCGTTTCATTAATCAATGTCGAAGATGGCCCGGTGGCCCGGTTACCACCCAGTTTTAATAATAACACCATGGAAAAGTACAACGCACAGGCCGATCCCAAATTGAACATATTGCTTTTTCATACCATTACACATGTCACAGGTATGTTGTGGTGGATAGACGAACAGTCATTGGAATAAAACGTTATGAACCTCTGGTTTGCAAGGGTATAGCTTTAATGCAGTGGTTATTTATTAGAATTTGTTCTCCCATTGTGATACAATTTATTTTTATTGAGGTTAAAAAAAAAAACATACTGTAAATAATTAACGCTAAAAACTAGACTCCTTCATACTGTAAATAATAAACGCACGCGTTGACTCCATACATAAGTCTAGTTGCCTCCCTCGTGTAGCCTTTTCGTTGCCTGTTTGAAGAAATGAATCTTTTGGCGCATCCTACTGTACTGATGTGACAGTGCAACAGCTGAATGGAGCATATCATGCAAAATAAACAACATTGGCAAGAAAACAATGATTCTTAAATTCGTGGCAAAAATTACCATTAGCAATAGGCCTACACACAAAATAAATCACATTAATTGCTTTCTTTAGTGAATTTGTCATCTTTATTTGCAAGATGAACAAACCGTTTGGGCATGCAACTTCAAGCTGATAAATGACAGTCATAGTCACCCATCACTGCGCCAGTCATCTGAAGGACTGTAGTTGAACGTTTCTCTCGCATTTTCTATCACAGCATCCGTGTCCCTTTTTGGTCTTTCCAGCGGCTTTCAAATGTGTCTCGCTGTGCGTCATGCGTAACAGCTGGAAACTGTGCCCCGGAAGTATAAGGTTGTAGCGTGACGGAAGATGGCGGAAGCGGATGATGAAGTGGAATCTGAATACAATGGCGGTAGAATCAAGCAGAATTTGAGTATTGTTCAAAAGAATGGAAAACGGAGCAAAGTAAGGTACAGTGATGAGAATGACCCTTCGTATCTAGTAGGAGTACGGTTTGTTAATAAGGAGCAGCTGAGCAGAGTACCAATCTTGAAGAAACCATTTGAGTTATCCAAACTGGTGGAGAGAGTGCTGGGTAAAGTGAAGGATGTGAGGATCACGAGAGGCGGGCTTGTTTAGATTTTTTGTGATTCTGCGGATCAGAAGGAACGTGACCTTGTGTCTTAATCGATTTGATAAGTTTGAAGTGTTGTGAGTGTGTCGCGTTGGAACAGGACACCCTTCAAGGGGGTTATATCTGGCGTTTCGTGGGAAGTTGATTTGGAAGACATTCAAAATATTCCTGGAGTGATTGAAGCACATCGGATGATCTCCCTAATGAAGTGCGGTTAGGGTATATTAACTATAGAGTTAGAGCATTTATCCCAAGACCAATGCAGTGTGAACATCGTAAAGCGTTTGGTCATGTAGAAAGTGTTTGCAGAAGGGAAAAGCCGAGATGTACAAGATGTGGAAAAGATCATATTATTTGTTGTAAAAGTGAAGAAAATGTGATATGTTGTAATTGCGGTGGGAATCACGAAGCCACGTCTTCTGAATGCCCCACAAGGGTTAAAGAGAATGAGGTGGCCAAAGTCAGGGTTGTACAGAGCATTTCACAGAAGCTGTGAAAAGGGTTGAGGGTTTGAATGTTGCACCAGAAGAGTCCGTGGTAGTGGATATGCCTTCACTGCAGGCTGCAGGGGTTGTCTTACACCAAGAGGATCCTGACATTTTAAAGGTGAAAAAGGTGGACTTTGTGGCATTTATCGCAATGGTGAAAAGATCTAGGAAGATTGAAATCATTGTGATTGCGGCGGAGCGGTTCCTGGGGCTGAAAGATTTCACATCAAAGGAGTTACATGGAATATTAGCAAAAGCCGTATCACCTTCTCAGGGCCTAGAGCCCGAGAAGGGAGATATGGAGAACTAAAAGAAGGAAGAAGTGGGAGTTTTGTTTGTTTTGGGAATGTACTATTTTTTATAAGGGTGGATTGTTAGAATCACTATTAAGTATGGATTTATTTATTTTCATTTTATTTTGGGTTTCAAATCGTCCAGTTGGTGGCGGCAATACAACTTTTGGATGTAGTCCGCCATAAAACCCAACGAAGAAGAAAAAGAAGCAGCGTAACAGATGTGCGTAAGATAGAATACGGAAATACAAGCATCCAATGAGGGCGTTCCTCTTGTAGAAGGGACTTACTGGAAAATTAACTATTGCTATTGTTTATTGGTTGAAGCTGCATTTAAACCGATAAATGAAGTCTCTGGAAATGTCTGCCTGCTGTTGATGAATAGACATTTGCCTCAACCAGAATGGCAGGAGTCGAATATTCTGCAGTTGGCGGCGATTCCTACACGGTAAGAATATGATGCGTCGTGGCGAGTGTTACATCCTGTTATGAACAGCAAATAGCAGTCAGAGGCCTCAGTTGAAAAAATAAATGATAAAATGTAGCCAAAGAGCGATACATTTTGTAAAATTCTCAGTCTGTAACTTGAAACAGCTGGATGAGTATGTCCAGCATGTTTATTAGATCCACTATCTGTTTTATTAGTTACGTTAAGGCGTTTATAAAGTTTTGTGCATAGTCTTATTCATTCGTCTTTTGAAGATATCACATTCCATTAATACAGTCAGTGTCCATGCAATGACATCATGTCATCTGTGCCACTGCCCACATACTTGAAGTGTCTCTTGAAATATTTATGACCCCTAAGTGAATGGATTTGTTTGTTTGCTTGCATTTACAGGAAAACCTAATTGGAACCTTGCTGGCCATTTTTGGTAATTTGCTTGTCAGCATTGCTGTAAGCATTCAGGTAAGCTCAGGCAACTGCCAACCCTCATGTTGTCTGTTTTGGCTATAACAAGGAGTGGGTGTGCGAAGAGACCCAACATTTGTACAACAGTGGTTATATTTCATTGTCTTTTTTTTCTTCATTTTTCGGAATTCTCCAGAAATACAGCCATGTAACATTAGCTGGGACCAAGGACCCCCGTGCCTTCTACCGAACCAAAACATGGTGGTGTGGCCTGGCACTTACCGTTCTAGGAGAAGCAGCCAACTTTGTCTCTTATGCCTTTGCACCGTTATCTCTAATAGCTCCATTGAATGCAGTGTCTGTCATAGGTAAGCAAATTACACTTCACTCTCACTGCTTGGGAGCTTGGCCAATCATAGCCTGGGGTGTATTCACTAGGAACCAAACAGAAGCGAACGGAACGGGGAGTGACCTACCTGAATTTGTCGTCCAATAGAAACCCTTGTTGTCATTGCAAAACGTTTCCCGTTTGGACAAAAATGATTTCCGTTGCAAATGTTTTTGCTACGGTGCAAAACCTTTTGCAACAGTGTCAACTTATGAATACAGCCCTGAACTTTAGAAATTTTTTTTTGACATGAAATGAAAGGAAATGTGTACCAGATTGAAGTTATTTATAACTATGTTATCGACATTTCGGAAGAAATCAATGACAAAATGTAAAGTTACCTTTTTTATCATGTTTAATGACATTTGTTTTTTTCTTCTTTTCAGCAAGTTCAATCTTAGGTTTCATTTTCCTGAGAGAGAAATGGAAGCCAAAGGAATTTTTAAGTAAGTTCAACAGGTATTTTACATTTAAGATTCAGTGTTGGAACTGACATTCTGATTTAGGCTAATTGTATGAAAATTAATGCTATGACAATGCACACACTGCTATTTGCTATGAATTTGCTTTTCCAGTCACAAAATAACCTGAATAATAAGGTGTTTTGGGGAAATGGGTGAATATTTGTTTGGATGGTTATTCATTTACTTAGCATTTTAGAAATACAAAACCCATAGTTGGATAGTTTGTGTACCAAAAGCATTTCTATACAATGCATGTTAATGCTAACATGAATGCTCGTCTTCGACTCTAGAGCGATATGTTTTGTCTTTCCTTGGATGCATCTTGACGGTATCCGGGACCTACCTCTTTGCCACGTTCGGACCCAACTATCACCAGAAACTTACTGCGGAGAACATAGTGAAACAGGTCGTAGGATGGCCTTTCCTGTTGTATGTGGTAAGACATTTGATTCTGCATGGGAGAATGGATTGAGGGATTTCATAAATAACTAACCACATGCTTTAGAGTAAGTTTACATACGTTACCTTTCTATGCATCATTAGAATGTATCAAGATTTTTACGTCGCTCAGGAAAAGAGCGTAACTTTTTTTTCACCAGGTTGTTGTTGTTGTTGTCTTTGGCAACCCGATTTCCCCCGCCTCCATGTTAGTTATGATAAATGGGCTATTATAAGAGCCAATGTCCTGCTGTAATATCTCTTGTTGTTTTTGTTTTCTATGGCCAGCTCCTGGAGATCATTACCTTCTGCTTTCTGCTCTACTTCTACAAGCAGCGCAATGCTAATTACCTTGTTGTCATTCTGCTGCTGGTGGCGCTGCTCGGTAAGTTGGACGACGGAAGAATATTAATGTTCAATATTCAGTAATAATAACTGTTTCTGGACATCAGCAACAGAGGTGTGTGTGTGTGTGTGTGTGTGTGAAGAACTCAACCCACTGATAGGTAGAGCCGAGATAAACAGTCCAATATTTGCTAAATAGGAATTGAACTCGGGTCTAAACAACAGAATTCAACTTTTTTTTTTAACTTTTTCATGAAAGGTGTTCTTTACTGAAAGTTGCTCTTTTCAAAGTTTTTATTTAAAGGGCTTGTTAACCACCCTACTGTACGGTGCTTCTTCCCCAGGTTCTGTGACAGTGATCACAGTGAAGGCGGTGGCAGGCATGCTGGTCCTCAGCGTCCAGGGCACCATGCAACTCAACTACCCCATCTTCTACGTCATGTTTGTCTGCATGGTTGCCACCGTGGTCTTCCAGGCTACGTGAGTGCACACTTCTCATCATGGATTTAACAATCGCGCGAGAAAATACTTTTGGAGAAGGGTGGTAAATCGGAACACAGCCTTGCTCTTGGTGGGGCTGGATATGTGGGAAATGAATGACGTTGAGGTGTGCGACGTTGTAGGTTTTAGTTTTTGACTGACATCCAATAGTAACAAACACATGACAATATTCTACAGTCAACTAGTCAGTGGAATTTTGACCTGGCAAATAATGCGAGACCACACTTTAACCTAATAGTCATAATTCCAAGGTAGCTAGAGGGGAATAGCTGATGTAAGTTCCTGGTTCCGTGCACAGGCAGTTAAGAATAGCTAACCCTTAATTCCATTTTCCAAGAAAATTCAAATATTTGAGCATATAGAGTACCAGTCAAAAGTTTGGACACACCTACTCATTCAAGGGTTTTTCTTAATTTTTACTATTATTCTACATTGTAGAATAATAGTGAAGACATCAAAACTATGAAATAACACATATGGAATCATGTAGTAACTAAAAGTGTTAAACAAATCAAAATATATTTGAGATTCTTCAAAGTAGCCACCCTTTGCCTTGATGACAGCTTTGCACACTCTTGCCATTCTCTCAACCAGCTTCACCTGGAATGCTTTTCCAACAGTCTTGAAGGAGTTCCCACATATGCTGAGCACTTGTTGGCTGCTTTTCCTTCACTCTGCAGTCCAACTCATCCCAAACCATCTCAATTGGGTTGAGGTCGGGGGATTGTGGAGGCCAGGTCATCTGATGCAGAACTCCATCACTTTCCTTCTCGGTAAAATAGCCCTTACACAGCCTGGAGGTGTGTTGGGTCATTGTCTTGTTGAAAAACAAATGATAGTCCCACTAAGCGGAAACCAGATGGGATGGCGTATCGCTGCAGAATGCTGTGGTAGCCATGCTGGTTAAGTGTGCCTTGAATTCTAAATATATCACAGACAGTGTCAACAACAAAGCACCATCACACCTCCTCCTCCATGCTTCACAGTGGGAACCACACATGCAGAGATCATCCGTTCACCTACTCTGCGTCTCACAAAGACACAGCGTTTGGAACCAAAAATCTCATATTTGGTTAAGACTCATCAGACCAAAGAACAGATTAAAACCTATCTAATGTCCATTGCTCGTGTTTCTTGGCCCAAGCAAGTCTCTTCTTCTTATTGGTTTCCTTTAGTAGTGGTTTCTTTGCAGCAATTCGACCATGAAGGCCTGATTCACACAGTCTCCTCTGAACAGTTGATGTTGAGATGTGTCTGTTATTTGAACTCTGTGAAGCATTTATTTGGGCTGCAATTTCTGAGGCTGGTAACTCTAGTGAACTTATCCTCTGCAGCAGAGGTAACTCTGGGTCTTCCTTTCCTGTGGCGGTCTGCATGAGAGCCAGTTTCATCATAGCGCTTGATGGTTTTTGCGACTGCACTTGAAGAAACATTCAAAGTTCCTGAACTTTTCCGTATTGACTGACCTTCATGTCTTAAAGTAATGATGGACTATCGTTTCTCTTTGCTTATTTGAGCTGTTCTTGCCATAATGTAGACTTGGTCTTTTACCAAATAGGGCTATCTTCTGTATACCACCCCTACCTTGTCACAACACAACCGATTGGCTCAAATGCATTAAGAAGGAAAGAAATTCCACAAATTAACTTAACAAGGCACACCTGTTAGTTGAAATGCATTCCAGGTGAAGCTGGTTGAGAGAGTGCAAAGCTGTCATTAACGCAAAGGGTGGCTACTTTGAAGAAGCTCAAATATAAAATATATTTTGATCTGTTTAACACTTTTTTGGTTACTACATGATTCCTTCTGTATGTCTTCACTATTATTCTACAATGTAGAAAATAGTAAAAATAAAGAAAGACCCTTGAATGAGTAAGTGTGTCCAAACTTTTGACTGGTACTGTATGTGGTAAGTATTCCATGAGTAGCCTACAGTGTAACTACATATATTGTTAAATACAGTGGCTTGCGAAAGTATTCACCCCCCTTGGCATTTTTCCTATTTTGTTGCCTTACAACCTGGAATTAAAATTGATTTGTTTGTATCATTTGATTTACACAACATGCCTACCACTTTGAAGATGCAAAATATTTTTTATTGTGAAACAAACAAGAAATAAGACAAAAAAAACTGAACTTGAGCGTGCATAACCCCCCCCCCCCCAAACTCAATACTTTGTAGAGTCACCTTTTGAAGAAATTACAGCTGCAAGTCTCTTGGGGTATGTCTCTATAAGCTTGGCACATCTAGCCAATGGGATTTTTGCCCATTCTTCAAGGCAAAACTGCTCCAGCTCCTTCAAGTTGGATGGGTTCCGCTGGTGTACTGCAATCTTTAAGTCATACCACAGATTCTCAATTGGATTGAGGTCTGGGCTTTAACTAGGCCATTCCAATACATTTTAAATGTTTCCCCTTAAACCACTCGAGTGTTGCTTTAGCAGTATGCTTAGGGTCATTGTTCTGCTGGAAGGTGAACCTCCGTCCCAGTCTCAAATCTCTGGAAGACTGAAACAGGTTTCCCTCAAGAATTTCCCTGTATTTAGCGCCATCCATCATTCCTTCAATTCTGACCAGTTTCCTGTGGGATGTTCAAAGTTTCAGATTTTTTTTTATAACCCAACCCTGATCTGTTCTTCTCCACAACTTTGTCCCTGACCTCCTTGGTCTTCATGGTGCCGCTTGCTTGGTGGTGTGGCAGACTCTGGGGCCTTTCAGAACAGGTGTAAATATACTGAGATTGTGACGGATCATGTGACACTTAGATTGCACACAAGTGGACTTTATTTAACTAATTATGTGACTTCTAAAGGTAATTGGTTGCACTATATCTTATTTATGGGCTTCATAGCAAAGGGGGTGAATACATATGCATGCACCACTTTTCTGTTATTCATTTTTTTGAATTTTTTTGAAACAAGTTATTTTTTTCATTTCAGTTCACCAATTTGGACTATTTCGTGTATGTCCATTACATGAAATCCAAATAAAAATCCATTTAAATTACAGGTTGTAATGCAACAAAATAGGAAAAACGCCAAAGGGGATGAATACTTTTTTCAAGGTACTGTATAAGGTCTACTGCTATGTAAGACATTTATATTGTGTTTGACTGACACCTCATTGTGAATCCTCTCAGGTTTCTCTCCCAGGCTACTCACCTGTACGACTCCTCCGTGATAGCCTGTGTCAACTACATCTTATCCACATCCTTTGCCATTGTAGCAGGTAAGAGAGCTGCTGACTTTGTCTATTGAACCTCTATGGAATCACAGCCCAAGAAGGTGTGAACATCAGTCTCTTTTTTTTCACATTTACAGGAGCCATATTTTACCTGGAGTTTAATCACGAAGACATTCTTCACATCTGCATGTTTTTGTTGGGGTGAGTAGGCTTTTCTATAATTGTGCATTATTAAATGTTTACTTGTGTTAGACAAAGCACCCCCCTCCTCCAGACATATGGTGGTATGGCCCAAAACTAAAGGCACCACTAAGTAGGGCTATCAGACGATTAAACAAATTAGATGGGTTTTTTTTTCTCCAATTAGTTAATGAATCTACAGATGAATCAGTTGTGTCATAAGTGCTATGTGATTTATAGCCATGTAATGTCTTATCTCTGTCCTTCATTAGATGTTTGTCCTGTTTCCTGGGAGTCTTCCTGATCACCAAGAACAGGAAGAGGCTAAAGGCCTTTGAACCCTATGTGACAATGGACATGTCGCAAGGTAATGAAGGTACAATTCCCCTTGTCGCGACGCATGTTTACACCCCCCCCCCCCCCCCCCCCTTATCGTCCCCGATGCGAATTCAATAGCTTGCCTTGAATCTTGTGACTTTGACATCAAAACTCGCACGACTGTCTTGCAACGTTAGCAAAAAAAAGCTAACTGGCAATTGTGATTGATGCCACCATGGTGCTCTCCACGCGTCGCGAAGCAGGCAATCAAACATATTTTTTATCTACAAACAAACAGCCAATATGTTAATTGGTTTCTCTGTCCCATTGCCATGAATTCAAACTCGCATGTAGTTAATGACATATGCACCTTGTGTTATAGATTCACCCTGTGTTATGAATTTATCAGTGTGTTAAGTGTAATTCTCACCCCTTTTCCTAAACGCAGGTATTCCCACCATTCACGACAAGGGCTGGCGAGCGGTGCAGCCGGACTACAATGGTTCCTTTTCCTACGGTGCCCTGGTTAACAATGACAGCGTGGCGCCTGCCACTCTACCAGAGCCTGACCATAACCAGCTGGCAGTCACGCCCAGTCCCACTGCTGCCCCTTATAGTTCGGCTGACCTGAAGAACGACTGAGGCACCCCCCCCCATAGGCTGCGTCTCAATCCTCCACCCTTCTCCTGAAGTGTGCACACGTCTGGAAACGGGTGCAGAACAGGGATGTAACCGTAGACTCGGTGTAGGATGATGTCATCGTTACTATGTTACCCCCCATCTGGCCATGTCTTACAATGAGGAAGTGTTTTGTGGGTTTTCAGAATCATGCTCTACAGGAGTGGTTCCCAAAATGTTTGTTTTTTTTGCCCATAGATTTTATGTGTGAGTTGCTCAAATATCACATGAACACACATTTAAACATGACAAAATTGTATAGAATTTTGAGAAAATTAGCTTTAAACTGCAAAAATGTTCTATCCACCCCATGACAAAATGTGTAGAATTGCAGGAAATAAGCTTTAAACCTGCAAAATATTCTCTCTGAAAACAAGAGGGTCTTGTGCCCATAGAAATAGACGTGGGGGTGCGGGATGTTCCCCAATGCTGGAAGGGGGGGGGGGGCCTGAGTGAAAACGTTTGAACTCCTACTCTACTGTACTTCAACTGAGCTGTACACTCGTCTCTTCATGTCTTCCTATCTCCGGACTGCAATGAGGGGCATTTCAACCATGAGAAATTAGCTTTATTCCTGCAATGAGACATTCGCTTTACTTCTGCAAATCATTCCAGAAAGGTACTGAAGTATCCGGAAGTTGTCACATGACTTGGGGACTGACCGTGAACAAATATCGACCTGGACTCTCATTCCAGGCCCATAGACATCATGTCATACCTTTGGACATTAATGTGCCTTAGACTAAAGCATCCTGCCTGCTGTTGTGTGTTCGCCACATAAGATTGAGTGACTTATTCCATGTTAATGCATTTCTGCAGGATTTCTTTCAATAGACTTGCCAATGAATACTGTGCAGTTTTCTTTGTGTGTTTTGCTTGAGCAGTTGAAGACGGTGTACGACTGCTTAGTCCGAAATGACCAAAATGGTTATAAACTGTTATTGTTTTAAGTTATTTTAGTTGCATTAGTTACATTTGAATCGTCAAGTTGTAGTTTGGGGTATGGTCTTAAATGCACAATGATTGTTTGTGTGAATTCTATGTCAAACTGAAAGAACTGGTGGAAGATATTTATTGTATTTGAAGCATATTATGATAAAGGTTGAAAGGCTTTATTCATGTGGTCTTGTGTTAGGAAAGGCTGGGCTCGTATCCACATAGCGTCTGAGTAATCTGATTCTGTATGATCTAACATACACAACTGACCCTGGATCAGCACTCCTATTCTGAGACGCTTTGTTGATACTGTTCTGCTCACCACACGTCATTTATGACAATGTCAATGAGTGTGACGCCACGTTAAGTTGGGATCTACCATAGTTGAGCTGCATTTATTATGTGGACTACTGGGATTCTGAATTGTCTTGAGTTATATAGATATTATGACAATTTCCTTGTATCACTGTGCAAGCAAAACCAATATGAAAAAAATGTCCATGAGTGACTGAGCTGATTTTAGAATAGACTACTGATGTCTCTGGTCAACACTTGTTTGTCATTCTGCCAGTCTTTTTTTCTAAATAGAAAATCCAGTGGCACCGGCACTACCAATGAGCTCACAGCATCCCATTGTTTTCTTCCTGTAATGAATGATATATAACCCTTAACCTCATTGCCACTCTGCTTCTGTATTATGAACTAGGTAAGCAAATAAATAATATACTACTGACGTTCATGCAAAAGATTCATGTATAACCACGACGAGCTATGACCATATTAAACGTTTTAAATTGGGAGGGTACCCAAAGATAATTTTGGTGATGACAGAATGTCGTTGTTTTTCCACTAGGGTGGATGAGCTACAACAAGTCCATTTGGAAACTCGCACTCTGAGGTGAGCTGAAATTGCGGAAATATTAGTTTCAGACCTGATATTTCCCTAGTCATGCAGCTTTTGTGGTATGTTAAATATCTCAAAGATTTACACCCCATTGTCAGTCGCAATATATCACCGAAGGGCTTCAGCATAAGGCTTCAGTAACGTGCCGTGTGTTTACTGCGTGCTTGCCACCAATCTTGGACACGAACATCCTCCCCTTGCTCAATTACCATTGGTAGAAAAGCGCATCAGCTGGGTTATCATTGGTCTCACCGGGCAGTGACCGGTGTTAGTGTAGGCTGCATCAGATATTGTACAATCATCTAATGTAAAGAAACACTGCATCAGAGAGATACATCAACAACCGTAACCGACTGTTTTTCTTCAGGTACAGTGAATGTTGAAATTTCTGGTGGAATGTCTTGACCAGAAAGCATATTGACATGCTGGAATATTTATTTTTGGTCAATGACAGTGGTAAATCATCTCAAGAGGACACTATTCGGCCTATGTCACTTAGAAAAAAATATGTAAATATATCACTTAATCAGTCACGAGTCACGACTGCGATTTTGATTCGTTGACATGTCGCTGTGTGTCATTTTGACGTTGATGGAGTTTCGCCGTTCGTGACAGCTCAGCTCGCGCTAAGCTTTTATCTGTCCGCTCTTATGTAACAAGTTTTGAAACAAATCGTTTGCTTTTAAAGAGAGATAAGCAACTATTCCGTTAGGCTACAATGTTACAGCCTTGCGTTGTTGACATGCTGTGCAGTTTAGACTACATAATTTGTTGTAGTCTGTAGGCTATTCTGCGGTTTGGAAAGAAATGTATGGCATGTATATCACTTGTATTTCAGCTTGACAGCATACATTACATTTTACATATTGTAAAGACATAAGGACTTCTTCCTCAACTATGATTATGAACGTCATAGTAAGTTTTTATTACAATGTATTAATTTATAATTCAGGTTGGGTAGTGCTTCAATTATCCTTCTATCGGCCGCCAGATGTCATCCTATCCCACAACAGCGTTAGAAATTACCCTCAATTGATGTATTTGTTTAGGGCCCGGTTCACCAATAGGCGGCCCGCGTGCCAAATTCGGCCAGCGGTTGAATTGTTTTCTGAACACTTTTATTTATGTTGGACATAAAATACTGTGAAATCACTACAAAGTGATTTTAATTTAGGAAATCTGTTCCCAAATATTCCCACACATAAATAGAGAGGCATTTGCTATCACATCCCAATGTAATCAAGGTTTGAAATTACTCTATTTTTGTCAAACTATATCTGTTTGAATTCTTGCGGTCAGTTTGCAGTGTAAAATTATTTATAACAATGTTCTGGCCCCCCGACCATCCGCTCAAGGAAAAATCGGCCCACTGCTGAATGTAATTGGGGACCCCTGGTGTAGGGTATACATTCTAGTGTTGAGGTCTTATAATGGGAAAAACCCAAAGGACAAATAGGAATATCTGCAATGTTTGGTTTGATCAATATTCTCATCACTTGTTGACTAGAACTGATTGTCTGACATGAATGGTGAGACCATGCAGGGAAATTGCACCATCAATGTGTAAGATAGATTAGGCTCTTTGATTACTTGAGACAAGTAAAAACAAAATACTTTTGTATTTCTCTCTTTCTTTCTCTCAAGTCTTGTCCCTGCTAGAAGCCCCAGTAGAGTTCCATCTCCTCCCCCCTAGCGGCTCACCTCTCTTCCTCTGTTCCCTGCCTCTGTGTCCCTGGACCTGGGTTGCCATGCTGCGGGAGGGGGCCAAGGCCTGGATCAACGTCTCGGAGGCTTACAGCAGCGACCCTGAAGAGGAGGAGGAGGAGGACATGGTATGTGGGGAAGACGAGGATGGAGAGGAGGAGATGATGGACCTGAGTGACCTGCCCACCGCCCTGTTTGCCTGCAGCGTCCACGAGGCCGTGTTCGAGGAGGACCGCCACCGGGTGAGACACTAGTGATGATGTCACTTCCTGGTTCAGTTTCGCCACACCACCTGGTTGGCTAAACTAAAGGGTGTTAGGGAGCAATTCACCCAAAGTGTTTTTTATCTGACTATCCATCAGAGGAGGCTGGTGGGAGGAGCTATAGGAGGACGGGTTCAATGTAATGGTTGTAATGGAATGAATGGAACGGTATCAAACACATCAAATATATGGAAACCACATGTTTGACTCTGTACCATGAATTCCATTCCACCAGCCTCCACTGCTATCCATGCATGTGTGTGTTACCTTACATTAGTTCTGTTCATCTCATTATGTTCCAAAAATAGCATGATGTCATTATCAGCGATAATTTGTACCTCTCACAGCCTCAGCCTGGCCAAATTCAGTCATCTGCTCCCGAGTGGCGCAGCGGTCTAAGGCACTGCATCTCAGTGCTTGAGGCGTCACTACAGACCACCTGGTTCGATTCCAGGCTGTATCACAACCGGCCGTGATTGGGAGTCCCATAGGGCGGCGCACAATTGGCCCAGTGTCGTCCGGGTTTGGCCGGAGTATGCCGTCATTGTAAATAAAGGTTAAATAAAAAATAAATAAAATCTCTCCCACAATGGCTGCCAATGGCCCAGGAAGCACACCTGCTGCCACAGGGTTTATTGGTGACATCGATACCTGGAAACATCCCATGCTGGGGTCTGATATGATGACTCACACATCACACACTGTCCCTAGCTGAGCCACTTGCCATATTCAGTCACCTCTGTCAGAGTTATGTGTGCGGATGTAAGAATGATATGCATGCACATGGGGTTAACTTGGCCTGTGCCTGCATACAGTACAATGATATAGTTATTGCAAGAGCATGCACACACACAGTCTCACGCCTTTAAACAAACACACACAGGCGCAGACACCCACACACACACCTAAACTGAACCTATGGGCCCTGTCCCCCTCTGTGACAGTTGTGGATCATCGTCACTCTGTCACATCTACCAGGGATGACACACTTTGCCCAGGCTGTCTAGTGTTCCCCCTCTAGTTACCTCACTCCCTCTGTTCCCCCTCTAGTTACCTCACTCTCTCTGTTCCCCCTCTAGTTACCTCACTCCATTTGTCCCCCTCTAGTTACCTCACTCTCTCTGTTCCCCCTCTAGTTACCTCACTCCCTCTGTTCCCCCTCTAGTTACCTCACTCCCTCTGTTCCCCCTCTAGTTACCTCACTCTCTCTGTTCCCTCTCTAGTTACCTAACTCTCTCTGTTCCCCCTCTAGTTACCTCACTCCCTCTGTTCCCTCTCTAGTTACCTCACTCCATCTGTTCCCCCTCTAGTTACCTCACTCCCTCTGTTCCCCCTCTAGTTAACCTCACTCCCTCTGTTCCCTCTCTAGTTACCTCACTCCATCTGTTCCCCCTCTAGTTACCTCACTCTCTCTGTTCCCCCTCTAGTTACCTCACTCCCTCTGTTCCCCCTCTAGTTACCTCACTCCCTCTGTTCCCCCTCTAGTTACCTCACTCCCTCTGTTCCCCCTCTAGTTACCTCACTCCATCTGTCCCCCTCTAGTTACCTAACTCTCTCTGTTCCCCCTCTAGTTACCTCACTCCCTCAGCTTTAATATTGCAGGTAAAAGCCACAATCTATCAATGTAGTTTTTCTTTATTTTTACTGGTTTCTACATTGTAGAATAATACTGAAGACATCAAAACTATGAAATAACACATGGAATCATGTAGTAAACAGAAAAGTGTTAAACAAATCAAAGTATATTTTATATTTGAGATTCTTCAAAGTAGCCTTGATGACAGCTTTGCACATTCTTGGCATTCTCTCAACCAGCTTCATGAGGTAGTCACCTGGAATGCATTTCAATTAACAGGTGTGCCTTGTTGAAAGTTAATTTGTGGAATTTCTTTCCTTCTTAATGCGTTTGAGCAAATCAGTTGTGTTGTGACAAGGTAGGGGGGTATACAGAAGATGGCCCTATTTGGTAAATGACCAAGTCCATATTATGGCAAGAACAGCTCAAATAAGCAAAGAGAAACAACAGTCCATCATTACTTTTAGACATGAAGGTCAGTCAATACAGAACATTTCAAGAACTTTGAAAGTTTCTTCAAGTGCAGTCGCAAAGACCATCAAGCGCTATGATGAAACTGGCTCTCATGAGGACCGCCACAGGAAAGGAAGACCCAGAGTTACCTCTGCTGCAGAGGAGAAGTTCATTAGAGTTGCCAGCCTCAGAAATCGGCAATTAACTGCACCTCAGATTGCAGCCCAGATAAATGCTTCCTTCGCAGAGTTCAAGTCACAGACATATCTAAACATCAACTGTTCAGAGGAGATTGCGTGAATGAGGCCTTCATGGTCGAATTGCTGCAAAGAAACCACTACTAAAGGAAACCAATAATAAGAAGAGACTTGCTTGGACCAAGAAACACGAGCAATGGACATTAGACCGGTGGAAATCTGTCCTTTGGTCTGATGAGTTCAAATTTGAAATGTTTGGTTCCAACTGCCGTGTCTTTGTGAGACGCAGAGTAGGTGAACGGATAATCTCTGCATGTGTGGTTCCCACCGTGAAGCATGGAGGAGGATGTGTGATGGTGTGGGGGTGCTTTGCTGGTGACACTGTCTGTGATTTAATTAGAATTCAAGGCACACTTAACCAGCATGGCTACCACAGTATTCTGCAGCGATACGCCATCCCATCTGGTTTACGCTTAGTGGGACTATCATTTGTTTTTCAACAGGACAATGACCCAAAACACACCTCCAGGCTGTGTAAGGGCTATTTGACCAAGAAGGAGAGTGATGGAGTGCTGCATCAAATGACCTGGCCTCCACAATCACCCGACCTCAACCCAATTGAGATAGTTTGGGATGAGTTGGACCGCAGAGTGAAGGAAAAGCAGCCAACAAGTGCTCAGCATATGTGGGAACTCCTTCAAGACTGTTGGAAAAGCATTCCAGGTGACTACCTCATGAAGCTGGTTGAAAGAATGCCAAGAGTGTGCAATGCTGTCATTAAGGCAAAGGGTGGCTACTTGAAGAATCTCAAATATAAAATATATTTTGATTTGTTTAACACTTTTTAAATTACTATGTGTTATTTCATAGTTTTGATGTCTTCAATATTATTCTACAATGTAGAAAATAGTACAAATAAAGAAAAACACTTGAATGAGTAGGTGTGTCCAAACTTTTGACTGGTACTGTATTTATTTTAGTAAATATATATTATTAAAAAATATATAATTATTTTTTTCCTTCTTTAATATTTTCCCCTAAACCTACTACCCGTCCCCTAATTGGAGTAAACTATTCGACAACAATACTTAGGCTTCCACTTCCGGCTTAAACTACATACATTTCACGGACAGTATATTTTATATTAGTTATCTTTCGTTTGTTTTTAGTCCCAGCTTTCAGCTACCCTCAACCCCTCCCATCTATCTCTGAAGACCATCCAGTTTTGATTTCTAGCTGCCATATATTTTCCCACCGTGCTGTGATGTTTCACAAAAGTTCTGAACCTTTCTATTCTCATAGTTTCTTGATTGTAAATGAAAGATAAACACCTTTTCTAAGAGTATTATTATATTATTGATCGATTGACTTTGACTTATCAAATCACCCAGCAGTGCAGAGTTAGCGCCAAGTAAATGTTGAATTATTTCAGCCATTTCTGAACCTGCGACCAAAAACAAGCTACATATGGGCAGTACCAAAACAAGTGATCTAATGATTCTGTCTCTTCGCAACAAAATCTGCAGCGCTGGGACGGTTGTATCCCTGATATATATATAACATTCTATTGGTTGCAATAATTTTTTATAATAATTTCAATTGAAAAATGTTAAAGTTTTGAATCCGGCGTCGTTTTGTGTATCAGTTCATAAACCATGTGCCATGGTACATCGAAAATCTCCTTCCAACTATTTTACAACCTGTATTGTGCAGCTGTACATTTTTTGTCCTTAAATGAAACTGGTATACTTTTTTATTTATCACAATTTTCTTTAGCCAACAGACAAGTTCCTTACCTTCTCCCCTTTCCACTTGCCTCCTCCATTTTTGCGGTAATGCTGCAATCAGTTGGTTGTAATTTTGAATAGATCAGACATTTCCATATATTTTTGTTAACTGCATGTGTGGCAACTCCACCAGTCCTGTGTTCTTGTGGACAGTCAATGCAGCAGACATTTTTTGGTACCCTTCCCCAGATCTGTGCCTCGACACAATCCTGTCTCGGAGCTCTACGGACAATTCCTTCGACCTCATGGCTTGGTTTTTGCTCTGACATGCACTGTCAACTGTGGGACCTTATACAGACAGGTGTGTGCCTTTCCAAATCATGTCCAATCAATTGAATTTACCACAGGTGGACTCCAATCAAGTTGTAGAAACATCTCAAGGATGATCAATGGAAACAGGATGCACCTGAGCTCAATTTCGAGTCTCATATTAAAGGGTCTGAATACTTATGTAAATAAGGTATTTCAGTTTTTTATTTTAAATAAATTTGCTATAAAAAAAAAAAAAAAGCTTTTTTCGCTTTGTCATTATAGACAAGTTTTTGAGCCGTTTCCGCTCTACTTCCTGAACTCCTCCCGTCGATGCAATCCACTTCCGTTCTGCCGGGCTGGGTTTGTTTTGCTAGCTAGCTCCGTTGTGCCGACAAAGCACTGATATCGCAGTGACAAAGAGAATATAAAAATTACAATTACAACATGAAGAAAAGTGGTTCGGGAACGACGTGTGCGGTAGTTGGTTGCAAAAACTCGAGAAAGCACCTGAACGAGTGGTTAGATAGAGAGTGCTACGACCACAAACCAGCTACGAAGAGGCAATGTCCATGCGCTCCATTGTTTACATTTTTTCGCAAGCCTGATACCGACTCGGAATCAAGGACCTGGCTGAAGGCATTGAATCTAAAGAAACCACCCCTCAACGTTTTTGTTTGTTCCTATCACTTTGTTGACCAAAAACCTACCAAGGAT